TCATCAAGGTCAATGGGCTCCTCGCCTTGGGCGGCTGCGGCACAGTAGGCTAGACGTCTGAGAGGTAGCACTCCCTAGCCGTCTTCTGATCCCCGTTCAGGGAACCCACAGACCCATCATCCCTCTCAAGCTTGATTAGCATGAGGGATGGAATGATGACTGCCTTGGACTCGTTGAGGGTTGGACGGCCCAGAATAAGATTGTAAGCAGTCAATTCCTCGACCACCAAGAACTTGACGACCATGTGTCGTCCTTCCCCCTTCTCTCCTAGCCGGATGGGTAGGTCAATCCTCCCCACCGGATGCACTACTCCTCCCCCAAAGCCGACTAGGGGGTGAGAAGCCTTGTGCATACTACTAGGCTTGCACTTGAGCTTTGCCAAGCACTGGTAGCTGATCAGGTCACACGACCTCCTGGTATCGATGAGGATACGACCCACTCGTTGGTTGGCAACCTTGCATTCGATGACAATTGGGTCATCATGAGGCCGCCTGACCATACCCCGATCCTTCTCAGAGATGAAGACCTCAGAGAAGGTGTCTTTCGACGCCTGGTCCTCATCCACTGAGTTGGCCAGCTTCCAGATGTTGTCCTTGGTACCCCGGATGGTAGGACCACCACCCGCAAAACCTCATGCTATGGTGAAGATGTGCTCTTCATCAGTATCAGAGCTTACAGCTGGCTTCTTGGACGGTTGTCCATTGTTGGTTTTTGGGTTACCCTTGGACTTCACCATGTAGGACTTCAAAGCCCCCTCATCAGCCAGACGGTCCAATAGCCGCCTGAGGCTATAGCAACCATTGGTGTCATGGCCGACATCCTCATGGAACTGACAGTACTTACTATTGTCCCAGTTCTTAATGGAACTCTTCATTGATGCCGGTTTTTCAATTATTAACTAGTCTTTGATCTCCATGAGGATGGAGGAGCAGTCCTTGTTGAACTCGTACTTGGGGACGTACGACTCCAACTTTCTCTGTTTCTTCTAGGACGGCTGACTAGAGCGATCCGCCGCCCAGACTTCTTTTCTTTTCTTGCTCTCTTATTTTTTGGCCCGCTGAGCAGACCGACTCTCTTTCTTGTCGGACCTTCTAGGTTCCAACAAGGGCTTGATGGCACAGAGCTCCGTCGCCTGTATATAGGCTTCAGCTTCCAACAACGCCTCTTGGAGGGTAGCAACCCTCTTACGGACCAGGTCGACTCGTCCTTAAGACCCTTGAAGAAGTCTGTGTATGCAACTTCGTCAGACAGCCCATGAATCTGAATTCTCATCAGATTGAACCGCCTGACGTAGGACCGTAGTCCTTCCTTGTCTCCCTGCTGAATAGCCCCTAGGTCGAGACTTGTCTTTTTGGCAGGGATGTTCATGGAGAAGTTGGACGCAAACAGGTATGCAAGCGTCTTGAAGTTGTTGATGCACCCAGCTGGCAGATTGCCAAACCATCGTTGGGCTATGCCCTTCAATGTTGTCGGGAAGCATCGGCACCAGGTGGCGTCTTCTAACCCCTGTAGGTACATGAGGTTGGTATAAGCCATTAGGTGGTCTTCCGGGTTGGTGGTACCGTCGTAGGTACCGACCAATACGTTCTTAACTTTGGCTGGCTGAGCCGCCTCGGTTATTTCCATGGAGAACGCCGACGGCTGTTCCCCAAGGTTTAGCAGCCGGAGTTGCCAGTCCATAGGCTGGACCTGCTGTGCCGCCGGACCCCCGAAGAGGGTCGACTGCATGTATGGTGATCCATACGGGATGTATGGTTGTTGGGGCACATACGGAGCCGGCTTGATAATCTGAAGGCCAGTACATGCAGACATGTCGCATGACTGACTCTCTTGGTTTGTCTCCGAATATTTCATTGAAGTATTACGGAAACTGTCTGGGTAAGTCGACGTGGAGGCCAACTCAGACATTTTTTGACTTCTCTTCTCCTAGATGAACATCCGGGCATCAGAGTGAGTCTTTTTTGACCCATCCGACTGAACTTGTCGGATGTCCTTCCTTTGCCCTGATTCAGGGAAACGAAGTTTGGAGAGGTCGATCAGGGGCCCATCCGTCCCCTTTGGTTTAGGGTGAGGAGTAGGCACCCGGTCTTTGAGGTGCTTCTTCCCGGAAGGAGAAGGCTTCTTTGCCGACTGACCCTTGTTTGAGCCAGTTGACTTCTTGATTATGTCTTTAATTTCCCCCTTGAAACTCGTCATGAATTTCATGAGCTAGTCTCTGGTGACGGGGGCTGTGCCCTCCGCCGCCTGGGGTTGCCCAGCAGGCTTGCCAGCTAGGTTGCTGGGACCATCTTTGTCTTCGCCCCATTCCCTTGTTTCTTTGGAACGGGTGCGCCTTGTTCAAAATGACCCGTCTAGGGCCACATAGGTGTCGACCTCATAGTCGTCACCACTATCCTGGTCCGTATGGACCTCAGGCTCGGCCGTAGGCCGTCTGCCCTCACCAGGCGGTACATTATCTGATGCCATCTTAGAAGTACTCTCCCCACAGACGGCGCCAAATGTTTCAAGGTTTTTGGAGTCCCTAGGGAGAGTTACAATTTTGGGAATGCGCGCCGACCATCTGTACCTGCAAAATCACGAAACTCCGGTTGGGTGGAGTTCCACCTCCGATGATCAAGTTAGAACGTCTCCGGATGTATAAAAGTGCGGAAAGTAAATGGGTTTTCTCTTTGATTTAGAGAGAATTCTACAATTAATATTGCTCGGTTTTTTGTGTTTGTATTTATGATTGTTTCTAAATTACCAATAAATGAGGAATTTCCTCTATTTATAGTAAAAGAAGATATGTTCCCCTATTAGGGTTACAATGCCACGTGTCAACATCCGATTGGATCCCATTGGGCCTCTATGGGGCTGCCACGTGTCAACTTGCTATAGGACCATGTGGCATGGGGTAATTTGACCCCAACACATATGGTAGCATTTTAGGACATTTTCCTTCTCTTTTATAGCTTTTCTATTTAAATAATGCCTTAGTTTCGATCATTTATGCTTTAGTTTCTTTGTTTCCCTTATTTTGTGCTTTTGTGTGATTTAAGGGTATTTTTCGTCTTTTCTACTCTACTCGCTTTACTTTCATCTATTGTAGGTCTTGTTCGTGGCTCGCGATTTATTTTAGAAGATTCTCCAAGTCTTTTGGATGCTCGGGAAGAGACCTCATATCATTTGGTTGCCTTAAGATCAAGCTAAGAAGCATGCTCCTACTTATGGCTTAGCGCTCTCGTGCATCACTCTCATCACAAGTCTTGGTCATGAACGCACAAAAATTGAAGATTTGAAGGCTGACCCCCTCGTGAGCATCATATGAGAGCGTCGATGAGGAGCATGCTTGTGAGCGCAAGAACCAAAGCAAAAGGCCGAGTGTATGTCTGTGCTAGACCAAGTGTGGGGTGCGTGAGTGCAGCAGGGTGCCCTTGACGGGCACACACCCTGTGGTGTGTGCGTGCACACCCACCTTTACGTGCGCACCACAGGTTGGCCGAGCTTGTTGGCTTTGCTTCCTATATATACTTTAGTTCTTTCTATTTTTGGGGCATGACGTTTTTGTTAATACATTTTGACATATTCCAAATTTAGTAGAGAGAGAAAGTAGAGAGATAAACACTTGGATACTTGATTTGTACTTCAAATTACTTCAATCAAGCTTGAATTTCCCCTTAATCAATGATAATTAGTAAGATATCTTTCCTTTAATTCTTCTCTTTTGGTTTGATTGTAGTTTTGATCTTGGATAATTGTTTGATTGGTTTAATTTCTTGATTAGTAGCTTAATCCCTTGAATTTGTCTTTGATTAGTTGAATATGATGATGATCATGATTAGCTTCGTTTTGTTTCTTCATTTCATGATGATTAGTGAGTAGATTTCCTAGCTAGGGTGTTAGGGAAGCATGTTTGATTGATAGTTTGATGCTAATTTAGGGATTTTGATCAATAGATTTTTGTAAATAAATTGATTGATGAATTTGTGCATGTGCTTAGCATAATAGGATTTGATCAACCTAGAGCTCTAAACTTGATTGCATTGATGATGATCTTGATGACATGACCATTTGATTTGAGATTGTTAATTTTCAACTTGTTTATCATCCATAGTGGAAACCTAACATGACAATTAGTCTAATAGCCTTTTGAACTCGCTGAATGCAATTGTCATTAGTCCTTGCAACGCCTATTGCTTCGATTATTCACCCCCAATTTGGCACTACTATCGTGATTGCATGTGGAACCTAATCCCTAGTACCTTTATTATTGATTTTTCCTCTATTATTTGCTTTGTTTGATTAGTTTACTTGATCACACACTCATCATACACTCCCTTCGAGGTAGCTTAACACATAGACTATAGTAATTGAACCTCCATTCCTCGTGGATTGATCCTTGACTTGCCCTTTTACTATTGTTTAGGTTAGTCAAGTGTTATAAATTTGTTGATAAGGTTTTGAACGTATAACGACGTGTTTAAATCCTCTATCAGCATTAACTCGGGTAAACCCGCTCCCAAACTAACCCGTTTCAAACCAATCCGATTATGATCCGAACTGTTTATTATCCAACTGTTTACAATCCGGGCCGATATGAATCCGAACCGTTTATGATCTGAACCGATGAACATGTTTGTATCCAGGCAAACCCGTTCCCAAACTAACCCGTTTCAAACCAACCCGTTTATAACCCAAATCGTTTGCTATCCGAACCATTTACGAGCCGAACCAAATTATAATTGATAAAAAATTGAAACCGAACTGACTTAAAAACTAATAAAAAACTAAAATCGAACCGAACCAGTAATAATTTTAACCAAATCAAAACCAACCTGTCGACTTCAAACCGAACCAAAACCGAGTTCTCAAACCATTTTTGCAGTGCTAGCAATGGAGTATAATTTACCTTAGCCTATCGATAAGAAGAATAAAAAACGTTACATAGTAGATTTTTATCAAAGATATATACATGACAAGTGTCATTTGCATGGCCTCATACCTATATTTCAAAAATTATCCCACTCTATTCCAACTTCACTGTTTCCTTCTCTTCTTCTCCCTCATCTCTTACAATATCTCCCTCCAATTCTAAGCAATCATCTTCTTTTCTCTCTTCCCACCTTTCTTTCTTATTACCAGATTTTTCCACCATCCTTCTAACAACACAGTAGTAACAAACTTCCCTTGTTTTTCCTTTCCCTTCCAAATTCTGATCTTATCTTCTGTTGCTGCCATGGCAGTCGCAGAGCTTTCACCTTCATATCAAACTCGTCTTCTTAAACCATCCCAGCTTTCGTCGTTGTCGTCTCGCTTATCGAATCACCGTAAATTTAAATTAAATCTTCAGTGCCGTCCCCAAACATCAAGGAGTACTGGGATTTGTTGCTCCGTTGCTCCAAAGTAAGCTTTAATGTAACAGCTTTTATTTTATTTTATTTTTTTGTTTTTTTTATTTTCCCTTATGTTATTACAAATGATTTTGCTCGTTATTTATTATTGTTATTGCTTGAAAGTGAAATTCAAGCTCCCGTTGCTGTTCCTACTGGAGAGCAGAGCACCAAGCCTGAGTGCTATGGAGTTTTCTGCTTGACTTATGATTTAAAAAAGGCGAGTTTGCTGATTTTTTTTTTTTTTTTTTTTTTTTTTTTTTTTTTTTTTTTTGAGTTTTTATGATTATGTTCTTACTTTGGCAGTTTTAATATCATGTTATGTGCTTTCCAAAAAAAAAAATATCATGTTATGTTTTTTCTGTTTTATTTAATTATTAATTTTATATGTTCAATCTTTTGTTTGACATTAAAAATTATCAAAATTTGAGAATGAGAGATAGCTGAGGTGGTTAGAGGCTTAGAGCTACCCTCCCCATTTGGGATTGATTTTTATCACCCGTCTTTTGTGATAGATAAGTTCCTACAAATTTAATTGAGATCAGTTACAATAAGTCAGATGATCTAATTTCTTTTTAAAACAGCAAAGCCTAGAGTGCCTGAACAAAAAGCTTAGGATGTAAGTTATTTCAGTAGGGATGATTTAGAGAACTTAATTGTGGTTCAATTGGTGAAGTGCCTGGAAACCTTAATTGTTGTTCAGTTGGTCCCGGGTCACCCAACTTATTGGGCAGCATGCACACTCCATATTAGTATGATATTGTTCACTTTGGGCAAATCTTACACGGATTTATTTTTGGACGTCTTTCCAAAAGGCTTCATACTAATTGGAGAGTGCACTCACTCAGGGCTTGTTTAGTTCACCTTATATTTGCTTATATGATCTGATCTGGTCTGATTTAATCTGATTATCTGATTTGACCAAACATTGAGATTATGTGTATGATAATCTATAAAGAAAAAAAATATCAAGTGGGGTCTTGTTAGACTCATCTGTGTATTTTATTAATATGTAATTTTCATAATTTCTTTCATTACGTAATTAAAAAAATTTAGCGATAAAAAATAACACATAAAATGAAAAAGTGTGTCGGAAGTGAACTTAATTTTTCTGAAATAAGTAAAAATAAGATGAACTAAACATGGCCTTATTATTTCCATGTGGGACTTGGGATTGCCTACCCCAACAGGTTCAAAGCGGAGATCTTAATTACTACAATTGGTTACAAGAATCTTAAGTAGAGAATAATTGCCGATCTAAAGACAATTAAGAGTGATGAGTGGATGGTGACAATGAAGGGAGGTTAGATAATAATATGAGATGTGTTGTGGTATGTTTTTGACATTCCTGTTTTGCTGCTAAAATCATTTGTATGGTTAGAATTGGCAATGCATGATGCAAACTATAAATGTTTAGAAAAAAATAGTACAACAAATTTGGGAGATAAAGGGTTACTGATTTAAAAAATTAAAAGTTAAGAGAAGTTTAGAAAAAAAAAAATCAGATTAGGATTGATAAGTGTTACCTAAGGTCAATTTACAGTTAAAATAAGTACCTATAAGGTCTAATGACTTACTGAATTTAGATAAGTGAAAAAGCTCATAAAACGCACCTTTAGAAGCTGCTCGTTTTTTTTTTAGCTTTTTTTAGTTTTTTAATTCGAGGGCTCAGTGACTTTAAGAGGACATTCTATGTAAGATTCTGAATTATAAATAAATATCTGAGTGCTGCATGCCTATGTCATCATTTTCTAATACTCCTTATATTGAACCTGACATAAACCAACATGTGAGTGTTTTATCAGTTTATTGTCATTTTCTGGTTAATTAAACCTTATGTTTGGGAGGCAGAGTACTATTCCTGATGTAGCATAATCATAGCTTTGGGGGCAAATTTATATATGAAAGACTATAGAGCCTTATATGCTTGGTTGTCTGTTAACTTATAAAGTGTAATTTACGTAGGTGTAGATGCTGTTCTCAATAATGTGTAGCTTAACATTTGTAAAATGGCTATAAAGTTTACAGTGTTCCATGTTTATATGAACAATCCAAATGATAAATTATTGTCACTATCTTCTGTCTTCTCACTTCAAATAAAACATTTAGAAGTATCTAAGTGATAATTTAGCATCATTTGTAATTAAAAAGACTGCATACTTTGTTGTGTAATCGGAATGATTGCAACAAATTCTCCCTCAATTCCAATTCCATAACATAAGGAGAATGAAAGTGGAGTGAGATGAGAAAAAACGTAAGGAGCATAAAATGAGGATGGTGTTCAGAATTTAGGAAAATGAAAATGAGGATGGTGTTCAGAGTTTAGGAAAATGAAAATGAGGATGGTGTCAGAGTTTAGGAAAATGATCTATTATAATAGAGAAGCAGTTTTATCATTTTAAGTCGATCAAGCCATATACAAAGCTAATTGTCATTTCTTGCTGTTGGTCCTTGTTTTTAGAGAAATAGAGAGTAATGTCAGTCCTACTTCTCTTAATTTACTTCCTTACCTTGTAACTTTCTTGTTTCACTTTTTGTCAGAAAGTTCCTTATGACAGTTAATATTCATCGACCCCAAATCATTCTGGAATTAAGTCTTTGATGTTATTTTGTTGTTGAAGTGGAACCATGGATGGGGATGTCAATCAATCTACTAGTTACTTAAGTATGGTTATGACTGTCTTCTCATGGGGTAAATGTATTCTCAGAAGGAATTTTGCTACATATGTTGCATCTGATGTAGATCACAAGACAACATGTATAGTATCATTAATTTGGCACTGTTAACAATCAGAAATAAGATAGGAATTTTCTTTTAATTTGGTTGGACTAGATTGAGAAAGAGATTGCAGGTTCTATGTGCAGACATTACTACGTGCTTCTGTAGCATATGTCTAATGTGTCCATCGAATCCACTGGAATGTTACTCTCAAAGTCATCTAATGATTCTGAAAGTGAACATACATCAAAAATCTTATTATCCACATCAATGCCAAAAGAGAATATCAACTCAATTTGATAATGCGAGTGTTGTTTGTCTCTGTCAGATTTTCTATTTTGCTCTTATTGATTTTGTTCGCTTACAGACTGAAATATGAAAACTAATAGAATGATAGCATATTTTTATCTCAATTTCAAAATTCAACTTTATGTAGATTAGTATTAGCACTTGTGCTTCTGGATTTATTTGAAACTGCACAAGTTTGATAACAAAAGACCTTTGCTTTTCCAGGAGGAGACGACTAAGTCATGGAAAAAAATGATCACTATTGCCATTTCAGGTGCAGCTGGAACGATATCAAACCATCTCTTGTTCAAAGTGAGTAATATCTCCCTCTTAGCGTACCCGCCCCTCTGAATTTCTATTTTCAATGATATGTGCATGGGTGGGGGAACACACAAGTCAATTAGTGCTTTATGCAACAATGATGTCATAGATGACGATGATCTCTAATTGATCAGCAGTACATAACATGCCATGAATCGATGATATTCATGTGTAAAAAAAAACAAAAGGAATTGAATTAGTACATTGTTCTTAAAGGTTAGTTGCACATTGTCCTTTTGTTTGATGTTGTCACTGGAGCTGGTTGTTACAAATGTTCGCAAGCTTTAAGCTGGAATTTGCACCAAAAGTCAAATTATTCCTTCTGTTAGACAAATTTGTAGTTCATAATCATCATATATAGTGAGAAGCTGTTGTTTCCTGGTTCCTGAGTAGGAGGTATGAAGGAGGGATAATATTTTGTCCTAATTTCAGTAGAAGTGATTGCAGTGTTCTTTGAAAGACAGCAAGATAGTAATTGCAGATTTCTTTAGTGTAAAGAGAACACCACTTAGTTATAATTTATTGGTGCTGCTTGATATAACCATATCTTAGCTAATCACATGGTTTATTGCTCCATTAGAATTTAGAAATCTATTTGCAAATTTAAGTTCATAACAATTCAGGATATAGTAAGTTTAGGCGTTAATTTACACCCTTTATCGCTTGTTCTGCAAATTCGACAATCCAATCATCCACTAAAATGATTAGAAATAAATAACAACAATTAAAAAAAAAAAATCCAGAATATGAATCCTTTAATTTTGAACTTCATCTCAACGAGGTGACTGGTGAATTAGCCTTATAAATTGTAATTCCCAAGAAATAATCTTAATTATCCATGAAAGATTACTATGTGAGCTATTGAGATTTATATATCTTATTTTTCTAGCTATCCCCTCCACCCCCCTTCTATTCACTACTAAATCTTTCAGATAAATTTTCCTTCTCCTGGTCATTGATAGTCAAATTTCCGTACTGATATCCATTAAAATTTTGGGTAAGTGTTCAAATTTAAAGTTTACAAATATGTTTTTCCAACTTTAATGTCATGTTTCATGGCAGCTTGCTTCTGGTGTTGTTTTCGGACCTGATCAACCAATTGCCCTGAAATTGCTAGGATCTGAAAGGTCATTTGAAGCTTTAGAAGGTCTAATACCTCCTTTCTAGATGATTGAGTTGCTCTGTTGCTATGACTAATGTTAACTGCAGCTGGACACAAAAATAACTTTTTCGGACATGTCTAGTTTCTGATCCTTGTTTTCAATCTGCAAATCGCTTCAGGAGTAGCTATGGAACTTGAGGATTCATTATACCCATTGCTGAGAGAGGTTAGCATTGGTATTGATCCTTATGAGGTGTTCCAAGATGCTGAATGGGCTCTTCTGATTGGAGCGAAGCCTCGTGGGCCTGGTATGGAACGAGCTGACTTATTGGACATAAATGGAAAGATTTATGCAGAGCAAGTATGGCAGATTTTTTTCCCCTGTAATGTTGTGTGGCTCTGAAAGAAAAAATGTCATATGTATCTTATCGTATCCTTAAATTTGATATGCCTAATAACAGGGAAAAGCACTCAATGCTGTAGCATCACGTAATGTCAAAGTTATTGTGGTTGGAAATCCTTGCAATACCAAGTGAGATTGATCTGTTTGTGTTTTACCTTTTATTTCATGAAAGTGTTTTTTCTTTTATTGCATCTGATGTTTTGCTTTACTATGTAGTGCTCTGATCTGTTTGAAAAATGCTCCAAATATACCTGCAAAGAATTTCCATGCCCTGACTAGATTAGATGAAAACCGAGCAAAATGTCAGGTGAATAGATTATTCTTTCCAGAACCCATTTGCAGATTTGCTAATAAGATCGTTCAGTCTGCTAAATCTCACTTCAATTGTTTGATTGCAGCTGGCTCTGAAAGCTGGTGTCTTCTATGACAAAGTATCTAATATGACCATTTGGGGAAACCACTCAACGACTCAGGTATTACAGTGTTGGATGGCATTCTACAGTAATGGCTAAAAAGCTCTGAATGTAAGACATATCTAATAACCGTTCTTAACTTCTTCTGTTTTCAGGTTCCAGATTTCCTAAATGCCAGAATTGATGGATTTCCAGTTAAAGAGGTCATAAAGGACCAAAAGTGGTTAGAAGAAGAGTTCACTGATATAGTTCGAAAGGTAAGCAGTTAGACATTGTGGTACTGTATCCAACATCTGAATAAATAATTACTCGAGTTACTGTCAACATACATTTGGAAAGTTTAAGCGAATTAATATTATTTTCTACTATTCAGAGAGGTGGAGTCCTAATCAAGAAATGGGGTAGATCTTCTGCAGCATCAACTGCGGTGTCAATTGTTGATGCCATAAAATCTCTCATAACCCCAACTCCACCGGGTGACTGGTTTTCTTCTGGGGTAAGAATATTGTTTTGATGCGTTCTTACTTCTTAGGGGAACATCTTTTACTTATCTGATAAAATTATAGAAATGATGTGTATCCAATTGCATATCATTTTAATCACTAGTTTACTGATATATTTCATGATATTCCTGTATGAGAAACAAAATCACATATGGTATTTTCTGATTAGTGGACCATTTTTTGTTCAATATTACAAGATACTAGTTCCAGACAAAAGGGATGAGATAAATGTCTGTCCATTGTCCTTGATAAGATAGACTTTTTCCCCCCCTTCTGAAGGATACCTTTGCTGGTTGGCATTCCAGCTGAAGTGAACAATAGTTCCAGCATTAAATTCATGGTGAAGAGGCTTAAGTCCCGGGATAAAAAGGTGTATTGGTTTTTAAACACTAGAAAAGTCTGAAGATGCTGCAGTAAATAAATCACAAAAACAGCAGCAGCATTATGTTCACACACACATACGCCCATATTATAGGCATAGTATTTGATTTAACTGTGTTCTTGAATTATTAGTTTTCATGGAATAGGCGCTCATATCAAGAGTTGAGCTCGTAGTTCTCTCATGAAATCGTTAGAAAATGAGGTTATTAAATAACAAAATTGGAAAGATAGAAGAGTGGGATGGGTGAACCATTAGATATTCATTGTTTAACCCTCAATGTAATGGCTTTAAAGGTTGATCACGCTATCACTAAATTATCTAAGTTTAGACAGTATCAGCTGTCAATGTATACATATGTATATACAGAATGAGGAGTTTTAGACATTATTGAATCCTGTATGCAATTTTAATCCTGTCAAAGTTCAAACCATTTTCTTAAAAATGTCTCCTGAAACTTATTAAGATCAAATGTGTGTTTTTTTCTTTTAGTTTTGAACAATTTGCATGATATTTGATGCATGTATGCTGTTCCTTTCCTTGAATGCTCTCTCTCTGTCTCACCTAGTTTCATAATATTGTATTGATGAGCTCTTATTTATGTTCTGGATTATTGTGGAATTTATTTATCCTATTTATGTTCAATCTGCGTAATCAACTACAACATTGGTTTATCTTTGTATATCCGTTTCTCAGAGTATTAGCTTTAGAAAGCATACCTAGAATTTACATAATAACTAGCTAGAGAATTTAGTCCGAGCTATATCTTGGTCAATTGGTATGTTGCAATCTGGGAGAGCTTATAAGTTGTTGCTAATATCCGAAAACAAATGTTGCTCTTTCCAGGTTTACACTAACGGAAATCCTTATGGTATAGCTGAGGGTCTTGTTTTCAGTATGCCTTGCAGATCAAAGGTCAGATTCTCATTGAAACAAATTTTGTTGGCATTCTCAATGAATTATAATAAAAGTGTAATTACTAGTATTTTTTTTTTGCCTGTCATTTCCTCTAAAAATTGTATTTCAACTTTTTTAGGGAGATGGTGATTATGAGCTTGTGAAGGATGTGATATTTGATGATTATCTTCGTAAGCGAATAAAATTGGTATGTTTCTCATATCTAAAGGATGTCATTGAAACTTAAATCTCACTGCTTCATACGAAATAGAACAAAAAGAAACATATATTAACGATGTGTATATTGCATGTTTTTACTAACTTGGTTTACTGGCAGTCTGAAGAGGAATTGTTGGCTGAAAAGAGATGCACAGCACACCTTACTGGAGAGGTACGTATAGTACTACTTAAACTCTCTTTTGACAAATCTATGTAGCACAGAAACTCTCATAACATGGAAGCTGAGACTCAAGGGAAAACCTTCATTGTTATTTTTGAAAAACTATCGCATTTTCCCCTAGGATCGTTAATCCATCAATGTAACTATATATTCTTTCTATATAAACCATCTTTTTTTTTTTTCCAGTTTACTTCCATTATTCATTGCGTCTTCTGCATTTCCATATTTTCTAATTGTATCAAAGTATCATTTCTTCGTTCTCTGAATCATCGCCTTTTCTCATTTTCTTGCTGCATAATGACAATTAATTTATACACTCCGCTTATTGAAGCTCATTTAAGATGTGAGAAATTGAAAAAATAAGAGAAAATATGACTACATTTTGCTGACTCATAATGCGTGCTTTTTATTACTACTATGGCCGTGTTTGGTTGAAAGCTGTAGCTGATTATGTTAGCTGATTTTGACTAGGTGATTGTGTTGATTGATTTTTTGGTGTTACTACTATAATGTTTCTGATCTTTTATCTTTTGGTGTATGGCTTTCTTTCAGGGCATTGCTGTTTGTGATCTTCCCGCAGGAGACACGATGCTTCCCGGAGAAATGTAAATCTAGTGTAATCCAACATTAGCCGCCATCATCATCATCCGCTTCGGTGAATGACCATAGACATTGTAGAGGAATTATATCATGTAACATCATCCGCTCCAGTGAACGACCATAAACATTGTAGAGGAGGTTCATCATGTAATAATCAGATATTTACGGAAAATTACTTCAGCATTGATGCAATATTAGGAATAATCTGTTTTGGGGATGAGCATAGAACCATTTGTCTTGCTTCTTGTCATCATTTATGATCAAGAAGCAAGAAAAACAAGGATCTCGGTCGATAAGATTTTTACATTATGTTCGATATAGATTGTTTGGAGTTAGTAGTTTCATGTACTGTATGGCTTTAACTATGGTCAGTAAAAATCTATAACCAACACTAAATTGTTGACATCACCATTGCCATGTGTCAGTCTTTTATTAAAAAAAATTCCCTACAAATTATAAATGACATCATCCTTTTTTTTTTCCTTCATTTCAAGAAAAAGTTAATGTTTGAAAAAGGTAGATTAATTTTCCTACAAGCTTTTATGACTAAATTTATTAACTACAAAATTTCCTATAGAGGTAAAAATAATAATTGTTTCGGTACGAAAACAATAGGACCTTTGGCAGGCTCTTTTCGAGAGAAAAGACTGATCTCGGTCCAAGTAATGATTGGACCGAGGATTTCCTGCACAGCAAACACACGTAAATTAGCCTCGGGGGTTGTGCTGAGGAAGGCCCTTCCGATGCTAAAGTCAGTTTAGTGTCTTGAAAGAGAAAGCTATGCAAGAGAATCTATTGCTTAAGGCTTGTATTGAATGAATCATAAAGGAGGCAATTGAAGGCTTTTATACCTTGCTCAAAATAGGTGAACTGGGCCCTGAAGTCAGATGGGCTGGCCATGCTGATTGGGCTTGACTGACTTGGCATGCTTAGGAAGGTTGAACCTTGCTTTTGGGCTCTTGTAATTAAATCACTTGGACCGGCCTAATTGGATAATAGAATTGGACCTGAACAACTTGCCCCCCTGACCCGATTCAGAAGAATGACAGGTTGGGTTTTGTCTTGCAAAATTGGAGGGAAACAAATTATTGTATTTTGAATTTGGAATCTAGGATGTTTTGAGGCAAATAGCTGCTGTTTTGTGGAGAATAAACAGGGAAAGTGGACAGTTATTGCTGTTTTTAGAGAGTAATTGTGGAATTTAGATGGTTTAGTGGGTAATTAAGTGGAGAAGGGTAGTTAGTGGTTTTAGTGGCACGAACTCCCAGAAACTTGTTCCAGAAAAAAGTATAAAAAGCCACTCGCCCCACTCTCTCTCCTCACTTCTTTTGCAAACACTTTCAGATTTTTCGCAATTTACCCACTGTAAACCGCATTTCTGCCTCCGAGCATTCTCTGTGGTTCCGAACCTTAAACTGAAATTCGTTGCTCCAAACATATAGATCGACAAATTCCGCGTCTGATAAAGGTAATTTTCTCCGAAACTTGTTTGGATTTCACTGTTTTTCAAAGCTTTCCCCTTTTTTCTCGATTTTCCGATTCTTCGCATAACAATGGCTCAAGATCAAGGAAGAAGACCAAGGAATTTATTTCCGTCGGAAATTTCCGACGGATTTTCTATCAAATTCCGTCGGAACTATTAAAAAATAAATACAAAAAAAACCGAACCCTAGATATTGCTACAGCCGCCACTCTCTCTTATATCCCCCTCTATCTTCTTCTCTTCCCTTTCTCTCTCCTCTCCTCTTCTTTCCTCTTAGACTTCTCACTCTACTCTTCTCTGTTCCTCTTCTCTTCTCCTCCCTTTCTCTCTCCTCTTCTTAGTCTCAATTTCTCTCCTTTCCTCTTCTCTTGTCCAACCTTTCACTCCCCTCTTCGATCTCTTCTCCCCTTTCACTCTCCTCTTCGATCTCCTCTCCCCTTTCACTCTCCTCTTCGATCTCCTAGCCACCAACCCGCATCACCATCAACAAACACCCTCAACGAACACCCGAGATCAACGCCAACACCGAGATCAACAACAACCACCAACACTGCACAACAACGGCGCAACAAAAGCCACTATCGCAACAACAGGTTTTATATATTTCTTAGATTGTAGATCTAGCCTTTGTTTTCCTTTTAAATTCCGATTTTAGTTAATTATTGATGTCATTGTAATGTTAATGTATAAATTTTGTTAAATAATTGTATATTTATATATTTCTTTGAATTGATTTGGGTAATTTTCGTTTTTTTTATGATAATTTTAGTTTTTTTATTTTTTAGATTTTTTTTTCTTTTTGGTTAAATTCTGGTGGTGGTTTCAGTTTGGTGTGGGTTGGGTTTTGGTTGGGGTGGTTTCGGTTTGGTGTGGGTGGGGTTTTTGTTGGGGTGGTTTCGGTTTAATGTGGGTGGGGTTTTGGTTGGGGTGGTTCGGTTTGGTGTGGGTGGGGTTTTGGTTTGGTTGTTAGGTCTGTTGGTGGTGGATGAATTGCGGTGTTGGTGGTGTTTTGGTGATAAGGGTTGGGATTTGGTTTTGGTGGGTGGTGAGGTGGGGTCTGGTGGGTTACGGTGGGTTAGGGTTAGGTGGGTTAAGGTGGTGGGTCTGGTGGGTTAGGGCGAGGTGGTTTTTTTTTAATTTTTTTTAGCATTTTCTGACGAAATTTCCGTTGGAAACTTCCAACGGACTCAATTCCGTCGGAAGTTTTCGACGGATTTTCCCGGTGCCGGAAAACTTCTTCCGACGACTAAATTCCATCGAAAAAGGTCATTTTTCCTACAAAGCGTTTTTCGACAACTAGTTCCGATGGAATTTCCGTCGGAAACACCTTTTCTGACTGAAAACAGGGTGTTTCTGACGGAATTTTTCCGTCAGAAATGGGCTGTTTTCTAGTAGGGGGAGTGCCCTCCATTGCTTCGCCGAACAAATTGAATTATACTACGGCGTAAGGAGGAGGATGGGTATTGGTGTCGAATGCCCATCGCCGAGGACAGGATTCATCGACCCCCTCCTGGTTACATAGGGGTGTATACCAGGCAGCTGCAATTTGGGATTCGGTTCCCCTTGCACTCGTTCATCGTAGAGGTGCTGAACGGGTACAACATCTTATTGTGCCAATTAACCCCAGCCAGCATCCGAAAAGTAATGACATTCCTCTGGGTGTGTCTGTTCTACGGATTTCAGCCGAGCATCCACGTGTTCCGAAAATTACACAAATTGATGCCAAATTAGCAATCAGACGAGCATCATGGGGGCGCTGGGTGGTGGAGAATTGAGACCCAAAGGGGATATTTGACCACCTGGCCGAACGATACATCTGTAAGGAATGGCGAGGCCAATGGATTTGTATTCTAGTTCCTGCTGAGGAGGATCACACGAACTATTTTGGGGGACCGAGGTATCTGAGTATGCTAGATCCTCGGATGAGTGCAATTGGGCCGGATGAGTTCTCAGCCAAAGAAAAGTAGCTGCTGACCCTTTTCGGCAAAAAGAGAAATTCGGGAGGTACTGGCCGAATAGTCCAAGTACCAGAGACTTGGCTGCCCTTCTACCATTACATCTTCAAAGAGAAGATGCTCGTGCTATCGACCTCAGTCGAAAGTACCAGGATGGTAAGGAGTTCGGTTGGGGCCGAAGGCTTTTGTTTTCTTTTTGCTTTTATTGACTGCGTTCTTTCATGCTGATTAACCCTTTACTTTGGTTTTTCAGTGCTGCACGAAGGGAACTGCGGCCTTGACTACAACAAACTCGGTATCAACGTTGCTAGGCGTGTGACGAGGAACGCCCCAGCCATAACTGATCCTTCGGTTCGGGCCCCTTCTTTGCGCCCATTAACGCTTGAGATATTCAAGCCTGCCGAATATTCCAGGCAGAAATCCTGGTTCTTGAAGAGGGACCCATTTTGTCTGTTGGGCCCTGAAGAACAAGTAACTTCTGCTGTTGCCACGGTTAGAGCAGGAAACTTTGTTGGAGTTTCCGAACAACGCGCTAAGCAACCAACTTTTACTGCTGAACCCCAAGTGCTCAGTGCAGAAGACAAACAATTGCTGAAGACTTTGGTGAGTCCACTTTTTCTCTTCTTTCTTTTTTCTCCTTGCCTTGCTCCTCTTACTTAGCTTTTTCTTTGAAATTTTCAAAATTCTTCTAAGTACTAAGCTTCGGCTTGAAGTTCTTTTTTCTTTTTTTTCTTTTTTTTTATGATGCTGATATTGCTCTTTTCCCCCTGTCTCTTCTACTGTTGTCTGACGAAGAAGAAGAGGACAAGGGAGAGTCAGATAAAAAATCATCTTCTTTGGACGAATCTTCAGCTAAAGAAATGGCCGAACAGAGAAGGAGAAGGGTTGTCATAAATCCGGGGCAGTTTCCAACTGCCGAGCCTGCTGCGAAGACATCTCGGTTAGATGAGGACCAGGCCGAGGCAGCTAAAGGGAAAACTCCTCCTCCCGAAAATCGGGATGAGGAAGTTCAGCAGCGGACTCCCCCATTCCAAGTTCCTCTCCATCTTCTCGGCACACTGCTGAACCTTTCGCTGATGAGGTTCGGAAGGAGGCTAACCCACTTATCGTGCAGCCCAAGGACGATGATGTTTAAATACTTGATGGGAGGCCTGAAGACTTTAAGGAGGCCGAGGATAAAGTTGAAGAGCCGAAGAACTTTGATGTACCTTCGACTTCAGCTGGAACCTCTTTTCGGACCTTCCAGTCTTCTGATTTGGGGTTAGAGTCTTCCCCTTTAACAATTGTTCCGGATGCTGTTAGGAACACTATGCTCTCTCACCGAACCTCGGCTATCGAGTTTTTCGGTGATCTGTCTGGCCTTTTCGAGTTGGAAAAGGCGAAGGTCTGGTCTTTTTGGGCCATTGCTAAGGTGTTCGAGCCCTTTATAAGGGTACCAGACCCTTTTGCTGAGAATCACAAACTGCTTATGCAGGTAACTTGCTTTTACTTAAACTTTTTTGCTTAAGTTCTTTTCTTCCTCTCTTTTACTTAAGCTTTTTTTTACTTGAGTTCTTTTCTTCGACTGACTTATTATTGAACCTTGTAGGTCGTTCATAACCACGTCATGGCTTCTAGGATGAATGAAGAACCAAAAGGCAAGGCCGAAGAAGCTGAGTGCCAAGCTCGGCTTGCTGAGCTAAAAAGCCAAAAGGCAGAGGAAGAATCTGCGACAAGCCAGACTCATATGGATGAAATGGCGGCCAGCTTCCGCAACTTCTGCCAAGAAATCGAACAGTCCATTTTTCCCTGGATTGAAGAAGGTCAAGCCTTGATCTAGGAGTATAGGGCCGCTGATATTCCGAGCTTTATGGTGCGGATCGAGCAGAAGATGAAGCAAGAGGAAGAGGCTCGGCAAAAGATGGTCGAGGAGTTCAATGAGAAGGCTACCTTGGCCGAGGTTGAAGCCAAGTAGAAGCAGTCTGAGTTTG